GGCTCTTGCGAAAACGTACTATAAATATCAAAGACAGCAAAATTTTAAACGCATGTTTTTTTTAACTATGCGTCGAACTGAATTCATAGAATCTTGAAAGTTATCCGGTAATCGAGCCGATCCAAACGTAAATTTCATAGTACGTAAGTAATCCAATTTCGATCCGCACCGACACCACTCATACTTTAACTGCAATTTGAAGTTTCGATTTACCACGTTCTCAGTGGTGAAGGCAAGGAAACCTGCATATTCGAGAAGTTAAAAAAATATTTCGGAAATCATTTTTTGGCATACTTTTGTGAAGTCGGTCAACCCGCGTTGGAGTCAACTCAATCAACGTTGTTGTAGGCTGCTACTTTTTTACTTTTAATAGGCCTAACCACTGCTGATCATAGGCTTCTCCCATTGTTTGTCAAATAGGCCGGATATTTGCAATAGTAGCCACGTTTGGCAAGTGGGTTATTGGCAATTGCAGCTTTTTATTACTCTGCATTGTTATCAGGAAGATGCTGCCATCCACCTCCTGTTTCAGTTTCCCTTCTGTCGCCTCTTACGACACCCACGAGACAAAATGTGATATTGGTTTCTATTTCGCCGCCTCTACATTGCTAATATATTTCTAATCCCGTTCATAATTTCGATTCCCTTCATAGATTATGAAATAACTTGGATGTAAGCCGTTCTTACCACGCTCGGCCGGCGGGTTGCCAACTGCATCTTTTTATTATTTTAAGCTATAACCAGAAGGTGCTTCTGCCCATCTTCTCTATATTTTTACTCCCGTTCATGAATATAGTTCCTCTCACACGTTCATCGTGAATAGAACTATTTCTTAACATTTATGAAATTTTTACTTTAATTGGAGTAGTATTAATGGTATTTATAAATTGAAACCAACGCGAGTGAAACCGCTGGTAAAAAGCTAGTTCATTATAATCGGGGTTCGAAAGTGGTTGTGTAAGTAGGGTGAAAAGTTCGTGTAGATATACACACTGACGGAGCGTCGCCATTTTCTACACTTCAAAAAGGAGGGGGTACTCAATTCGACTGTATGTTTTTTTATGTGTGTTACCTCATAACTTTTTTCTGGGTAAACCGATTTCGATGATTTTTTATTTGAAAGCTGGTGCTTCTCATGCGGTCCCATATAAATTTAATCAAGGTCTGACTAATAGTTTTTGAGTTATTCTTAATAATTTATATTGAGGTTGTACAAAATTTTTAAGTTTTAATTATCTTTACCGAAATTGCTTGTTTCAATTAATATCTCATTGAAAATGTTCCTGGCGTCATTCGCGTTTTATTATTTGTTTAATTAAAGGACCATGCCCGTTTTTTTTTTATAGGAGAGGGGGCAAACGAGCATGCGGCTCACCTGATGGTAAGTGACTACCACCGCCCATGAACAACCGCAACACCAGGGGAATTGCAAATGCGTTGCCGGCCTTTATTGAATACTGCTAAAGCTAGGTTTTTTATATTTTTATATATAAAAAATACGTGTTATATTGTTTGTTCGCAATGAACTCCAAAAAAAAACGATTTTAATGTTTTTTTTTTATAAGATAAGGTTGACATAGTCCACCTGATGTTAAGTGGTTGCTGTGGCCCATAGACATTTACATCTATCCTCGTTTGCGAATCAAAATGCAGATGCGTTGTCAACCGTGAGAACTAAGATAGAATGCCTCTTTTCCAATAAAAAGGGTCTCCGGTTCTCTACACTCACCGTACGAAACACATCAGCATTAAGCTGCAATTTTACGCTAGTATTCTGTGAGAGCGTGGTCCTTCCCCGGTCGAGCCGACCCATTTGTGCTACAACTATACTATTGATATAGCTGTAGCATGGCTCTACCACGTATAATTTTTATAATATAAATTTTGTAAATGTGTATTGCTTACTCCAACTTTAGGGATAGGATAGCTTTTATCCCGATAAGTGACCCTCAATAGTTTTTATGGCAAAGTTAAAGATTTTTTAAAGGACAAAGGGTCATCGTCTACTTACAATAAATTAAGATATACAATAAGTATTTTATTTAATGAGCTTTTAATTACACAAAGTAGGTAAAAATTATTAAATGAATATTAAAAATATGTAAAATGTTATTAATTACAATTATATTAACTGATAAATAATATAAATTATTCAAAATTCAAAGTAGTTTTAACAGATATTTACGGTTGACCTTGTGGAGCGCTGCGCGCTCACCGGCCTCTATCGAAAAAACGGTTGAGCGCATGAAAAAATGTTTCAAATAAAATTTGTCGAATATTTTATGCTCTACAATTTTTATAAGTAATAGATATTAACATCAATGGAACAATAGAAACCGAGACATTCACGAAATACTGTTTTTTTATCATTGACCTTGAATAACTTACGACGCAGATTTTATGAGACTTTTGAGACAACTTTTAGAATGCCAAAATGAAGGTATATGCGAAAATTCAGCTTATTATCTCTCATTCCGAGTTTATAAAAAGTACTCTGATTCCGAGGTAGATCGCTAATTTGACTAGACTATATATCTACCTTATTGGTATTACTAAAAACGACGATTATCTTACTGATAATCCCGGGTTTAAAGAAGTATTATTAAGAAGGAAAGGTCTTCGCGAAATTTGACATTTGCTGTCAAATTCTTTCCAATTCAATCTTACAGTTTTGTTTGCATATTTTCCTCGGGGTTTCACTCTTGAAACAAGCTCTAGTTTTAACCTGAGACGTTTTTTATAGAATAGTCACAGTCCACCTGATATGGTAAGTGAATGGTGTGGCTCATCATATCTACATTTATCCGCGGTTAAGAATGAAAACGCAGATAATATGTTGTCACCACTAAGGACTAAGATGGAATGCCTCGTTTCCGGTAAAAAAGGTATCCGGTTCTCTAAACTCACCATACCAAACAGCAGCATTAAGCTGCTATTTAACGCTAGTATTCTGTGAGAGCGTGGTTCTACCCCGGTCTAACTGACCCATTCGTGTTACAACCATAATGTAGCTGCAGCGGGGCTCTACCACGTCTGGTTTTAACTAAGACATAAATCAAAAAGTATATAATACAAAAATTAAATATCTAAAAGTATAAATCATAATAAAAAGTAAAAAGACGAAAGAGTACGTACCATTACTCGTAACGCCTAATGCTGTATGTTTCGTATGGTGCGTGTTGAGAATCGGAGATCCTTTTTACTACAAACGGAGCATCCTATCTTAGCCCTCATGGGTGGCAGCATGTACATTTTGATTCTTAATCAAAATATACATGCTGCTACCGCTGTAAAATAATGATAAATGTAGATGTCTATGGGTCACAGCATCCATTTACCATCAGCTAGTTGTGTATCGCTAGCAACGCAAAGTCGGGAATTCGTATTTGGAAAAATCCAAAATTAGGGGCTTTTTAGGTGCTAATTAGGTGCCAAGTTTAAAAATTAGGTGCTCTAAAATTTTCACCGCAACGAACTGTTGAAATTTGCGTTGCTAGCAAAACGTCTCGCTAGCAACGCAATGAAGTTATTAGATATACGATAAATATTAATAGCAAGGAATTAAGTGCTAATTAGGTGCTGCAAGTATACGCAATAACAAGGCGCCCCTAATAAAAATAAAGTCGTTATTCAGAACGTAGCAGATGCAAAATTCAGATTTCCTGAAAATCAAAATACAATCAAAATTGCTTTCAGAAAAAGTTCAAATTAGGGGCTTTTTAGGTGCTAATTAAGTACCAAGTTTAAAAATTAGTTGCTCCAAATTTTCACCGCAACGAACCATTGAAAGTTGCGTATCGCTGGCAACGCAATGAAGTTATATAGAAAATGAAGATATACGATAAATATTAATAGCAAGGAATTAAGTGCTAATAAGGTGCTGCAAGTATAGGCAATGACAAGGCGCCCTATAAAGTCGTTATTCCAAAGAAAGCAGATGCAAAATTCAGATTTTCTGAAAATCCGAAAATAATCAAAAACGCTTTTAGAAAAAGCCCAAAATAAGGGCATTTTAGGTGCTAATTAAGTACCAAGTTTAAAAATTAGGTGCTCTAAAATTTTCACCGTAACGATTGATTGAAATTTGCGTTGTTGGCAAAACGTATCGCTAGCAATATACTAGATATACGATAAACATTAATAGCAAGGAATTAAGTGTTGATTAAGTGCTGAGCGATTATCGAAACCCGATACAGATTAAGATATTATTCTGGGAATTATGGGGTCCACGACCACCATTACCTTACCATAATGTATGAACGGTTATTTTTGTTATTTATCAGTGCCTAAAAATTTAATGCTAATTAGGTGCTGAAAGATTATTGAGTTCGCATGTAGATGACGGTAATATTCTGGAAATTATCGGATTCAAAACCACAACGTATGTCTAATAACTTCATTGCGTTGCCAGCGATACGTTTTGCCAGCAACGCAAATTTCAATGGTTCGTTGCGGTGAAAATTTTCGAGCAACTAATTTTTAAACTTGGTACTTAATTAGCCCCTAAAAAGCCCCTAATTTGGACTTTTTCTGAAAGCAATTTTGATTGTATTTTGATTTTCAGGAAATCTGAATTTTGCATCTGCTATGTTCTGAATAACGACTTTATTTTTATTAGGGGCGCCTTGTTATTGCGTATACTTGCAGCACCTAATTAGCACTTAATTCCTTGCTATTAATATTTATCGTATATCTAATAACTTCATTGCGTTGCTAGCGAGATGTTTTGCTAGCAACGCAAATTTCAACAGTTCGTTGCGGTGAAAATTTTAGAGCACCTAATTTTTAAACTTGGCACCTAATTAGCACCTAAAAAGCCCCTAATTTTGGATTTTTCCAAATACAAATTCCCGACTTTGCGTTGCTAGCGATACACAACTCCATCAGCTGGACTGTGTGCTCGTTTGTCACTTATATACTATAAAAATGTATTTAAATAATAAGATAAGTACTTATATAAGCTTAACTAGTAAATGTTTTTACACGTTAATTTTTCTTAGTGCAAGTGCAGTTGAATCGGAATGTGGCTCACAATCATCTTTAGCGCTTGACCTGCATGGAAGTGGTGCATGTGCAGGAGTGACTCTGCGCGTTCGTGATAATACGCGGCGCCGTCCGCTGGCCAGACAGCAGCGCCTGTGGGAAGACACATTACTTCGTAAGTTGATTTTGCTCTTAGAAGTCGAAAAAATAATTGAATTTTTAAATAAAATGTGTGCTGCACTAAAATCTGAAAAATTTCTTTTTATTTGAAAATTATTCACAATCTAATATTTGAAGAAAAAGTATTATTATGAATATTTTTTCCTTTTTAGCAGACTTCAAAAAAATATGATTTCGATTGTATGTATCTTGTATGTATGTCATGCGATGTCTTCTTCAATTATGAACTTTTTAATTAAATATACATCAGTCGTGGTCCTATATAAAATTTAAGAAAAAATTCTACCCTTAGGGATAGAATTTTTTCTTCAATTTTATTAGGGTAGAATTTTTTCTTCAATTTTATATAGCACCACGACTGATGTATATTTAATTAAAAAGTATTTTAAAATAATATTTGAAATTTTTAATGGAACTAATTAGACGACATTGCCGATTATGATATTACATCGTCCACTCTAATAAAATAAGCCGACGACAAACCTCTAAAAAGTATAAAATAATTTAAAATTATAAAGTCGGAACTTAAATTCTTTTTATACAATATGTCTCAGCAGCGACTTCAGCATGTGAAATTATTTTATTATTTTTTTAGTTGTTTGAAGTCAGCTTCTACTTTTATTAAAAGTTAATTTATATAACTGTGGCAGCTCAGTGCTAGAAATCGTTCTTCAGTGATGGCAAAAAAATTGTTTCTTGCAATATTAAATACTAATATGGCACGGACTCGACACCTAATCAAGCAAAATATCTTAAGAAAGCTTGCATTCCAAAATTTAAAGAAATATTTTGAGGATATTGAAGCTCGTTAATCTATATATACTATTACGTTAAGTTAGTTTTAAAAAGGGTTTACAGACGGATTTTGATATTATAATTTATCTGATTCATATTCTCTCAAAGGCGATAGTCAGTGGTCAATCAGAAGTGAGACGTGCACGGACTGTTTCTTTATTTTTCATGTAATCTATTTAGAAAAATAACATGAATGCTTATTTTATTTCAGCGATCTCTGGTGAAAATGTTAGCAACATAAACAGTGTTGAAGAGTCAACATCGAGGTAAATGATTCCTAATCCTACCAAGATACCTATTATAAAAATATGCCTGCCAAGCGTGATGAGTATAACAAATTTAATAATAATAATAGAAGTACTTCGAGAGGCTTACTTCAAGCAATCGACTATTCAGGGTTTTACAAAGATGGAAAGAAAATTCTCAGACCTGTGACATGAAATACTGTACTGTAGATGGTAAAGAGATTGGTACAGGAGCAAATTTTTTTTTATAGGTTAAGGGTGACAAACGAGCACACAGTCCACCTGATGGTAAGTGGTTGCTGCGGCCAATAGACATCTACATCTATCCTCTATTAGAAATCAAAATGTAGATGCGTTGTCACCCGTGAGGAATAAGATGAATGCCTCATTTCCAGTAAAAAGGGCCTAAATATCTAGCTTCTCTTAAACTATTGAGTCAAAATCTTCTAATCCGTGAATGATTTTAACCAACTGTAGTATGCTAAGAACTGCTATATTCGATTTTTGCTCTAGCTCGCCCAACACGGAATTTATGGTAGGTTGCCTTTCATAATGATTGCGTTTTCAGAGGACTGTAATACATCTACGCAGTTTTATAATAGGTACTTAATTTAGTGTTGCCCAAATGCAAGAACAAGACGAGACTTAGCAAGTCTTGGTCTTGTTCTTGCGCCAATCCACCTGGTCTTGGTCTTGGTCTTGGTCTTGCAGCAAGAGTCTCGCAAGTCTCGCAATGACCTATTAGCCTATTACTATTTATTAAACTACTTTAGATCTTAGAACAACTTAACAGAGTAGGTACATAATGAGCTTGAATTAACATAGCCATAGTAAAGACCAACCATATTAATAAATGTCTAAACATTTAATGAGAAATTCGAAAAATCAACTGACACCGGGTGGGGTTTGAACCCACGACCTAAGCGGTCCGTGCCGATGCTCTAACCAACTGAGCTACCTACCGTGTCCCACGGCCATGGGCGTCAGTTTCTTAATAAACGTTTACATTTAATAAGCTTACATGTGCTAAAACATGGTTAAACATACATATAAAAACAAATTAATGGCAATAACTACACTGTATTTTAAATAAAATTATCTCTCTAGAAAGAGATTGATGGACCCTCACCATATATGAAATGGAATAAAAGAGTTATACAATATACCATTTATTTAAATAAAAAATAAAATACGATGCAAATTAAATTATTTCACAGTATGTACACAACAGCTTTGACATTACTGTTACTTTATATTTATTCTTTTGACAAAGCATTAATACAAAGTAACCATCTGGCTGACTCATCACTTAACCTATTTCTATGTTTTCTAATTACTAATGATGCTTTAGAAAATAATCTCTCAGCAGGTACTGAAGTTGCAGGTATTAAAAGAAAATCACGGGCCATCTTCGATAAAATCGGATATTTTGTCTCATGCGTCCTCCAACAGTCTAAAATGTCTTCCGAGATGACGGCTCTGGGTTTACCTAGGTACCCCTCCAACTCCTTAATAACTAAGCCTTGAAGACAAGATCCAAATCCATTTTTACACATTTCAAGTGTTTTAAAAGTGCTATGGTGTCAACCATATTTATCAAATGTGTGACGACATATTCGAGCACTTTGTGTTTTAAAACACACACTTGCAAAAGTCGAGATTTGCAGTGAACTTACTGAACATGTTTATCTTTTAGGTAATAATAATAACAATAATAGTAAGCAATTATTATAAATCCATATAGTTAATTTTATAATAATTACTTAATAGAATAAATTATTATGATACCTACCTATTATCTAATTACAATATTTCTTGCGAGATCAGGATAATGTATTCGTGTCCATTCTGAGCACCCGGAAACTTATTTTATTCTTTGAAACATGTATTCTGTGGCGGCAATCAAACAGTGTCAAATGTAGTGCGTGTGGCGCAGCGGCGACGATTGTATGCGATATCAATAGTAGCCGCCGGCACGTGTATCTTGACCTTGTACTTTCGAATAGCTGCACAATTTCTTTGACAGGTCAGTATCCGACCTTTGATGACGCCGACAACAAGACGCCGCGCACTATCAAAGTACCGATGGTCAAAACTAGGGATACACTCTTTTTTCTTTTAATGGATATTTTCATTCGCTATGTATATTTATGGTATTGTTCGTAATGCGCATAAGTCCAATTTTCCAATTTTTTTTAATTATATTTTTTGCGTCTCATAGAGTCCCTAAGCGTATACCCGAACTCCTATACTCCATGAAACGACACTGAGTCCTAACTGCAAGACGCAAGAGTCTCGCAAGCTAAGTCTTGTTCTTGCGCAAATCTTGCACGGTCAGTCTTGGTCTTGGTCTTGCTAAAAAGAGGCGGTCTTGTTCTTGGTCTTGGTCTTGCAAAAATGCAAGAACAAGACCAAGACTGCAAGACCAAGACTGCAAGACCAAGACCGATTTTGGGCAACACTAACTTAATTGAAATATCTGTAATTATAATATCTGCACCAGCCAATATTTTTTTAAATAGAATTAAGGTGAGAAACGAGCGCGCAGTCCACCTGATAGTAAGTGGATGCTGTGGCCCATTGACATATACATCTATCATCGTTTGCGAATCAAAATGCAGATGTGTTGTCAGCCGTGAGGACTAAGATAAAATGCCTCTTTTCCAATGAAAAGGATCTCCAGTTGTCTACATTCACAATATGAAACACAGCGGCATTCAGCTGCTATTTTACGCTGGTATTCTGTGAGAGCGTGGGTCTTCCCCGATCGAGAAAACCCATTCGTGCTACATTCATAATATAGCTGCAGCAATATTTACGCGGTAGAGTCACTACCGCGTAAATATCTACTTAATTTAGATATAAATTATTTACCCAATATAACACATTAATACTTTATATTGCTCTTTTATATTGTTTGAACTTGTCATTGAAAATTTTGTAATTATTTGATTCAGAACAAACGACGCTGAAATTAGCACGGAAACTGTGGAAATGGTTCACCTGTCAGTCGAACAAGGAATTCGCTCGAGTAGTGCCCCGCCGCCTATACGAAGTTCTTCGCCTCTATCGCCACACGAGGAAGTGTCTGTACCACTTTCCCCTTTGCCGTCCGCCACAGAAACTTGTATAGTAATTGATGAACCTGCAAACCCAATATCAGAAGATTCAAAATCCGAAAAATGAAAATAAATACATCAAAGTCATGTGACAGATTTTGTAAATACATACAGAGACAGCAGCACTATTGTTACAAAACTAAATTAACTCATCATATATAAAATGATAATTTTTCATAGTCCTTGTGCTCAGTCCCACTTAAGGACTATGAGAAAATCTTACTCCTATTCGTTCCTCTTCTTAATGACGAGAGAGATTTTTATTTTATTTTATTTTCTTTGTGACCTTAACAACTACTCGGTGGAATTATAAAATCTAATTCTTAAATGGGACCAAGCAGTTGGGTTTTTAAAAAATGTTCGTCACTTCGTGTACGTTGCCTCTTGTCACATCCACTTTACTGAGGTTTTATTTTCGTGCATTTACACGCTCAACTTATAGTCACCTGAATACGTCATAAACATACGAACATTAAAAATATATGATTTTAATCGACATATTTTAAGGCGTAACAAGTGAGAACGTAATATAAAAATATTAGATTGATTGACGTTACTAACAATTACATAATATGAAGAAGTTATTTTGGTCCTTATATAGTTTCATCAGTTGGCCAAAAAACAAGAAATGAATTAAATCAAAATGAAATGGTATCAATCCCCCATGTTTCTATTTAAAGGGCCACTAAGAATTGAATTTTCTCGTGATCCTTTGCTAACTTTATTAACAACTCTTTGAAGACTTACTATAAACTATATTTTCCTATTTGTACATTTGTCTATTACTTAAATAATTTTTTAAATGTGCCAATAGACTCTTGGCAAATTCACGGTGGTTTTTAATAAATGTTTGTAAAATGACTATGAAAAAAGTCTAGTGAAACTCTGTAGAGGCCGCCGTCATTGAATCAATTGTAAAAAAAAAACATAATTATTCGTGTACTCATAGTAGGTAACTATTTATTCTTATTATAGTTGTACAAACTGATTCCATTTTATAACTTACATTAATATTGATCAGCTTCTAAATGGTACTCTCAACACGGTAATATAATATGTCTAAGAAACTTTTTAGAACCCCTTGTAAGATAAAAGACTGATAAAAGCGAATTTTAAAAAAAAACAACTAACCACATAATATTATTGTAATTAAAACAATAAAGACTAATTGTAAAACTACGAAATCTGACTATATAATCTGTAGTTAGATTTCACCCGTAGAACTAGGAACTGTTTTGAATATTTGTGAAGTGTTGTATTAACATTTACTTCCAATGTGGATCTTGTCCATTGTTATGTGTATTCTCATAACAATAATCTATTGTGAGGGTTACTTAAACAAATAATATGTATTCATACCTGTATTACGTAAGAAGTTGAGACTTTTATATAACTTTTGTCCAACTAATTTCGCGGTGGCCTCTTCAATTGGTCTACTTATCGGGAAATATAAAATTAAATTGTGTGAAATGTGATAATTGAATCAAATTATTCCTTGGCAAGAAATGCCAGCATTGCTAGTATATTGATAAAGAAAGTGGTAATTTAAATCAGAAGTAGTTTGTAATCTAATATAACGTACGTATAAGAGTTTTTATTATGAACTAACTTGAACATACACCGACATACATAATGAGTTAGTAATACAAAATTCTGATACTTTAAATTTATGTTTGATCATATTGATTGTACTTTTTATTTCGGAGAGATATAGACCCGGCGTTATATACCAAATATATACATTGAAGGCTTTGAAAATCATCACCTCTTGATTAAGTTTGCTACGGTTGTTTTAGTGGTCTTTAAAGAGATAGTTTTTGGAACGAAATTGTGCTAAATCTTACTATCCAAAACGTATTTAAACTAAAAACAGTTAGTATAGAACGAACCAGTGTCCCTTTATTTTTAAAAATAAAATAAGTGAAAAAATATTCTAAAATTACTATAGTAGGAAGACTCATTATAACAATCTTTGTTAAATATTATCAGTTTGAATTTTGAAGTTTAGATCTTTTTATAGGCAGTTTTATACGGTCTTAACATTTTTATACTGAATAAGTAATTAACGAAATACCTAAATCTAAATAGATAAGATGATAGCATGTAATTGATCCAAATGTTTGTTGTGATGTCTATTAAATTTGTTGATGAATATATTTTGGTTTTATTTATGATCTTTAAAAAAAGTTTGTACCTATTGATTATACCGTATCCTCTCTTCGTAATAGGGCTTCCGACAGAGGAAGTTATAACCATTTTGTTTTTATAAGTAAAATATTCATACCAATGACGGAGAACACCGCCAAAGCTGCGCCGTCTAGTGCAATTGTATCTAAGTCCACCTGCCGAGCGTGACGACTGAGGCAAATAAATACCCCTTACAACAGGAGAGGTCCATGTTCAGCAATGCACATTTACGGGTTAATGACAATATACATAATACAATATTTACCAATCTGTGCCTACCTTTATAGTCTTTATAATCATTTTGTGAACAGGCCGCCATCTATCGTCAAGGTAGCTAAACTACATTGCAACGTCGATATGGAACGATGCGAGTAGTTTTACTATTTATCAGTAGATGGAAAATGGTTAAATGGACGGGGCTTAACACACCCTCACCCCGCAAATTGTCACGCGTTGTTACATAGTGAAATCTAATTACAACACCTCCTCTTTGTGTTTGCTCCGTGCTCTCGATCAAGACACATTTCAAACAAAAAAATTTAATCTAAATTGGTTCATCCATTTGGGAGTTACCACGCATTAAAGTCCCCCAGAAAAACCAGCACTGCAGTAGGGTACCAATTTAGATCGGTAGACACCAGAATAATCAGAATAAGTAATTTTATACGTTCTTGTGTCTATCGATACCCGTGGAGAAAGTGGGGTCTTCAAGGTTACAGAGCCTTACGGCGCCCAGACTCCGTTGCGCTAGTGAAAATTATAAACCAATGTGTACGGTGCAACACCGTGCATTCTCCCGCGTCGGCACTTTAGTACAGCACTATGCGCGACTGACCTTATTTATTAATATTCTACATTTTTAGTGCTTTGGAGTTTGCCTACCAATACGGTCGCGTGACTGAACCTTATATTTTTACCAAGTTACATTTACCGTACATTGTTAAATCTTAATAAATCTTTGTTTTTTCTCAAGATTGTATTTAAATCATACATCATCAAATCAAGTAAAGGGTGTGTGGTATACCAAGACCATACACAATCTGTAGCCAAGGTACGCGACATAACCTAATAACTACTTTTCTAAAAAATTTAAACAATGTTTTAACGTTTCGTATTAAAAATAAGTTGAAATAAAAATAGAGAATGTTATAAGTATGATAAGTTGATTTTTACGCTGATTATGTTTTATAAACCCATTTTGTTAACTTCACTGTTGTACTAAAATTTTTACATTTAAATCATAATTTCAAAAAGCTCACTAGCTGGAATATATATTACATAATTTAAATTTTTAAGTTATAATTTCACTTTTTTCTACAATGATTTTGTATGAAATTTATTTTCATAAACATCATTGCAGCCCTTCACAAGTCCGCTGCTGAACATTGGCCTCAACCAAGGAATGCCACAAAGCACGATCCTGAGCCACCTGCATCCATCCACTTCCTGCATGTCTTACCAAGTCGTCACTTTATCTAGTGGGGGTCGCCCTACACTTCGCCTACCGGTACGAGGCTGCCACTCGAGAACCTTTTTTCCCCGTCAGTTGTCGGTTATTCGAGCTATATATATCCCATTGCCACTTCAGAACTAATCCGTCGGGCCATGTCGGTCACTCTGGTTCTACTGCGGATATCTTCATTTCTAAGTTTATCACGCAGAGAAACCCCGAGCATAGCCCTCTCCATAGCTCGCTGAGTGACCTTGAGGTTCCTCATCCGGCCAGCAGTAAAGGACCACGTCTCAGTTCTACAAGTCATCACTGGCAACACGCACTGGTTGTACAGTCTCGTTTTCAACTTTGGAGGTATACCTGACGAGAAGATGTGCCGTACCAAACGCTGCCCTAGTTGAATCCGTCGATTGACCTCTCGGTCGAAGTTGGACTTTGTTACCTAGTCGGACAAATAGTCCGACTAGGTAACAAATTCAAGCTTAGTGCTCCCAACAACTACCGGCATAGTTTTGACATGTACGTTATACAGGATCTTTGTTTTGACCATGTTCATCTTAAGACCTATCCATTGGGAGGCACTATTGAGGTCATTAAGCATAGTGCTTAGGTCGTCCAACGATTCTGCCATAAGGACTATATCGTCGGCAAATCGAAGGTGAGTGATGTACTCTGCCATTGATGTTAATACTGTATCCTTTCCAGTCCAGTAGCTTTAAAACGTCTTCCAATGCAGCGGTGAAGAGTTTCGGGGATATAACGTCACCCTGTTTTACACCTCTCTGCAGTTGTGTAGGATTCGTAATCTGGTTCTGTACTCGGATAGTCATCGTAGCCTTACTATACAAACACTTCAGCATTTCGATATACCGACAGCCAACTTGGCACCGCTGAAGCGACTGCAGCACCGCCCAAATTTCGACGGAATGAAAGGCTTTCTGTCAGTCCATATACGCAATACATAGTAGCAAATTGTACTCCTCGGTCTTCTGTACAATGTGCCGAAGGGTATGTATATGGTGCTACAGCCTTTTCTGAAACAGGCTTGTACGGGAGGCTGGAAGTCGCCAAGAATGCGTGCAAGACGATTCGTAATGACTCTCAATAACAGTACGTAGACGCGGCTCAGAAGGGAAATGGATCTGTAGTTCTTCAAGAGAGCATTGTCGCCTTTCTTGACGAACAAGACCACCGCACTTCTCCTCCACGCCTCCGGAGTAGAACCACCATGGAGGACGGAATTAAAGAGCTTCTGAAGGACTTCAAGTACCGATTTTCCACCCGCTTTCAAAAGCTCCGCTGTAATTCCATCCTCAACTGGGGCCTTGCCGTTTTTAAGGTGCTCTAATCTCGCTCAGACTGACGTCCGGGATATTTTCGAAATAGTGTCGGATAAGACTCGCTCTTGGAACGTTACTTACACCAAA